CATGGTGTAGTTTTTTTAAAAATGTATTTATTCATTTATTTATTTTACAGTTTTTATACTTGGTGTGAAAGGGGAGCACATGACTAAAGGACAGTCAGCTCCATAGAGGGAACTGAAACAAGAAGAAATCAGGGTAAAGTTCTTGTCTGTTATTTCCAAACAGCTCATGTTAACGTTGAATGTTCAAATTATAAGAAAAACAACATTTTATATTGTGTATTTTGTGTATATTTATGACTAACACAGAACGTCAATCACACCACTTTGTTTCAGTAAGGAACTCTCTTGTCATAGATTGAACCATTTATACCAACAAATGGAAATACAGTTATGTTTGGCGCTGAGGGCTCCGCTCTTGAGGTGCTTCCTGGATTAGACAAGCAGCGTGCTTTGCCAAAACAGGGAGCGCAATGCAGAAAAAACCCTCAGGTATAAAAGAGTGGGCCCAAGCAAGACATAAAATACCATTTAACCTTAGAGCCATGTTAGGACTGAATTAGGAAGGTGGAGGCTGGTGGAGATAAAGCTTTGCCAGCAGCAGCAGCAGCAGCTGTGTATAGCAGGAATCAGGAAGCCATATTCAAATTGACCACGTTATGTGATAATGGGCTGTGATTGGTGTGTGACTGGTAAGAAACAATGATCCAATCAGCTGGCTGTCAGCTGATTACAGCTGGGGCATACGACTTCCGTATCCTGCATGAACTAACGCAAAGCTTTTTTTATTGTGATGAAAAAGACACATGGTGATGGAAATAACATTGCCAGTGTTATATTACTGAAAATATTGTGTTGATACATTTCTCCAAATATATGTTACATTTTCTAAACTTTTCCACATCAAAATTGACCATATTTGAATGATGACCCCAATATTACTCATTAATGAAATTAGACATTAGTACATTGACACAATCTCCTCTTCAGTCAATAAGAGTGATGATAAAATGATTCAAATGGGCTCTTTTAATCCACCTGGTCTTTGTTCAGAAAAATAAGCTGTAAACAACAACAAAGTTGAGAAAAAAAAACAAAAAAGAAAAATCACAGGAAAAAAGTTCTCCTCAGAGAATTGCCACCTTAACACGGTGTAGGGGTTTGTGTCCCTGTGAACTTGGGAGCTGTGTTGTCCAGGGTTAGTAGGGTAGGGTCTCAAAAAATGGTAAGAGCGATTCAAGAAGACCTCAATGACACTGCATATTTGGACTCTGAGCACCTCGCCTGTTGCATTGTGTGCTGAGCCACAGGCAGGGTCGTGGCCCTGGGCATGCTGATCCCTGGTGTTGCAGTCTGGCACTCTGGAGACGTGGAATGTCACCACTCTGACAGGGAGGGAGCCAGAGCTGGTGCGGGAGGTGGAGCGGTACCAACTAGATATAGTTAGGCTCACCTCCATGCGCAGTGCTGGTTCTGGAACCAACCTCCTGCAGAGGGGCAGAACCTTCGCTTTTTCTGGAGTTGCCCAGCGTGAGAGGCGCCAGGCGGGTGTGGGGATAGGTCTCACATACTACATGTAGTTTTATAATTGTATATAAGATAAGGAAAAACCTGAAATGTTTGTTCTTGGAAACTCTCTCGCTCTGTGTGTGTGTGAGTGTGTGTGTGTGTGTGTGTGTGAGAGAGAGAGAGAGACAGAGAGAGAGAGCGAGAGCGAGAGAGGAAAGCGATTGCAGCCAATTTACATCATTGTGATCTTTAATGCCGTCGTTTTCCAATTTCCCAAAATCATTCCACTCACATTACCACGATGTCACTCTCCCATTACCTCAGCCACGTTAGTGACAGAGAAACACAAAAGCTTTGCGCTCCTGAACAATATCAACAGCATTTCCTTCCTTGCCTTGTGCCTCATCCTCCCCATCAGAGCTGAACACTAGCGAAGGGAAACTCCGTCTGATACGATCATGGGAAATCCTGTACTGAACCTTTGGACACTTGACAAACAGCATTTGTTTAAGCATTTAATGATACAACAGGGATGCGTAGGAGCAGTGCAAGAAGCTATAAACGGTCTTGTGCATTTACTTTGTGTCTGACGGAGAGCTTGTAGACCTGCTCCTTTTATGGTAGCTAACCTTCCCTGTGGTCCTTCAGCAGGCCAGTCGTCAGCTTCCTTTGTTTGTTTTCTGGTCAACCAAATCCTTCCTCTCTGACTGATGAGGGGTTACAAAAGGCCTGCTTTCATGCTACACCTCCTGCAACTCCCTTTAAGTGTATTTAATGGTAACAACACAATAATGTGTCTGCTTTAGTTTGGCCTCAAGAGAGGTCAAGTGAGGTATCGAAATTCATCGACATCCATTTTTATGAGTGTGGCCTCTCACAAAGATGGTCAAGGCTATTTAGTGGAACCAAGATGACTTGTTCCTTTAACTTTTTACTACACACAACATCCACACCTGCCTGAAAGTGTGCAGCTTCCAGATTCCAGCAGAAATATCTAGCCCAGCGACCTGAGAACTTCACTCCAGCTGAGACCTGGAGGCCCTGAAATCCATCTTACACCATGACCTGCTGTCTGTTCAGAAATGTTCACTTAAAATAAGAAAATAATCACAAAAATAAAGACCAGAGAAAAACCCTACAGGGGCCCCAATGTGGAAAACAGGATAAAATAGAGACAGCATGACAAACCAACCCCTTGACGTGCTTCCTACAAGGAGCCAAGAGCCCGTGGATGACTGATTTACAGCGACGGGACTTCTCACCCGCTGGGTCATTTCCACCAACCAAAGAAATGTGAGCATCTGACCCGCCCTTCCACCCCATTGTCTGCTCCAGAAACAACTCTTTACTGCTCAGTGTCAGCCCCATGGGTAGCTCAAATCAAATTAGCAGAGTTCTCACAGCCGCTTGTCTTGTCTT